TTGGGTCAGAGATGAAATGCAGGATTAAAATAATTCCGTATGTGATGATTTGGGATGGGATTGTAAGGAACTTCCACAAACGATGTGCTAAAGAAATTGGTATATCAGACCACATCGAGGCATATATCTAATCGATAGTTCTTAAGAAGACGCTTGATGGCATCTCCTACGACAGTCGATATGGATTCCACGAGGACGAAGCGAAAACGATGAGTACAACAAATTTGAGCGCGGGACAAGTACTGACAGAGTGAAGTAATGCGATCCAGCGCCAGAATCAGTGAAGCAAAAAAGAAGGCTAAACTCCACATCTTTTCTCTATCACTCTCTCTTTATATATATATATCAAAACATACAAAAAAATTTTTAATCAAGTATGCGAAACACCTTGGTGTTATGCCTTATTTTTTTAGCTATGGAATGAGAGAAAAAACATGTTTAGCAAATTTCACTCCTGTTGCACTTCCTAATAACTTTTTTCGTAATTCATTCCGGCTTAGAACTAAAATCAATACTACATACTAGAACATTTTTTACAGCAATGGATTACTGTGTAGTAAATCATTGGTTACGGATATTTTGATGAAAATTACTGACTAAATATTTCGTACTCATAATAATATCAGCTTATATATATAGAGAGAGAGAAAGAGATTCGTTACCACTCCCTATATTAATGGATTCGTTTATAGTCTTTGAAGTTAAAATATTTTTTATTTATAAATTTACTTATTTATATTTATATACTGCAATTTTTTAAATTTTTGGAACAAAATCTCTAAAACACTTATGATCATTTTGAAGAAATTATCTTATTTGTTGCAGGATTGCGACACTATTAAAAAATTGGATATGCTGGCAAACATAGAAATTGTTAAATTCAATCCTGAATTATCATCTCTTCCTTCCTATACTCCTCAAAATGAAGTCACTGCCAAGGTCCACGTTTCATTAATTATAAGTATACGCAAAGAAATATGATTAACACTTATAAAAACTATTTACTTTCTAAACTTGACAGGGGTTTTTTGGTTCAGAGGATTTTGTGATTTTTGAATGCAAATTTCGAAGTACATAAAAACTACGCTCGATTTGAATAATTTCTACTAACCTTCAGCATCGAATTCCTTTATTTATGCAGCAAATCTGTTATAGAAAATGCTTATATTATGTACACAACAGAAAGATGAAACGTTGGCATCATTTTATAGTCGTATACTGAAAATATTACGACAAATATCAACGCTGGGTGCACAATTGATCACAACTAATGATATTATAGTGAAGAAAGGAGAACTTCGGCCTCTCTTTACATCCAGAAAATTAGCAAAGATATCGGGTTTGTAAAGTTTGAGTTTTGAGAAATTAATATTCTTCTCGTGATAATACATGATATACAAAGTAAAAGAAGGAGCGAGAGATAAAACTGAAAACGAAACTGATGAATAATTAAATGTAAATGAAAATACGATAAGAAAAAAAAGGAAAGCTTCAGTTGATCATCGAATCTAACCAATCAACTTTTCAAGAATCAATTTCTATAGCCAAAAAAAGCAAAATTATTTGTCAACAAAAGAAAACAAAATCAAGGAAAGTTGAATGGAGCTTCTTGCGAAGTTAGTTGATATCTTCGCCGGAAATCTAGGAAACTGATATTGTACTGCCATCTGTTATAATTAATGAAAGACAGGGGATGAAAGTGATAGCTCACTTAATAGATAGCTAATAATACATTTCTTGCAGTTAATTTGAATGTATAGAACTGTTTATATTGGAATCACTAATTTAGAATCAAAAAATTTAGAATCAAAAATTTAGGTCATTTGATTATGATTGAAGTTGCGTGGAATAGACGACACGCCCAAGAATGCTTCCAAGAAATGAATGATACAATTGAACTCATACATGACGATGATAATTTTAAACACTATCGAGCATATCTGTATCGTTTTGTACAAATGCAAGTTGATAAATGAAGTTCGTATTCGCCGGAATATCGGAATATAAAATTTCATAAAAAGAAACAGAAAACTGTGATAGTTATATACACAAGATCAGCAACAAGTTTCATATATCAGTCCTTTATAGGGAGGTTCGAGCAGGAACTGCTCAAATTGATGAATCTTCGTTGATTTTTTAAAATATGAATTTAGGTAGCAGCATATAATTTTAAACAAAGGGAGATATTACTCGGCAGTCAAAAACTGAATATTTCCTGTGTAGAATATTTCATGTATAGTCATATTGAATGTGCAGATCAGCAGTTTGCATACGATAAAAGAAGTAGCAAGAGAAAGATTACACGAAATTAAAAAAATGGACTTGTGTGAAGTGTGACAGGGAATATAAGTGCATGGTAGGTTAACATTGTTAGGGAACAATTCTGCGCATACTCATTGCGTAACTGCTTACAAAAAATTACAGCATTTACATTAGTTAGCAAAAAGCAATCGCTAAATAATTAATTGTGAAGAGAGTGAAGCACGTCAAAACATAACTTGTTTGCCCACACAACTGTTGCCGTTGTAATACAAAGTAGAGGAGCGAGGATGCACAGGATGGCCACTGGATATAGTGGCAAAGTGCTGCGGTAGACGACATAACACATAACTGAATTCCTTCCGTCTTGCATTATTTATTTCTGAGCGTCATTATTAATCTTTCTGTTTGTGTCTTTCATTCCACGCAACTTTGCGCCATATCTTTTTATCTCTATTTATTTCTCGATTCCTATGCCAATGTGTCCTTGTTTGTCTTCCCTGTCACTTACGCATTCCTCAAGCTTCTCACATCTAACTTGGTTGACTAATATTTACTGACTTCAAACATTTTTGGAAACACTTTAATCCAGATGTAGAACTGATTATTAACTGCAAGAGTAAAGTAGTCTTTGAGTATTCAAGCTACTTGAAAGACTTGCAAGTAACTTCGTTTTATTGTCTTTCTTCAGACCACTTTATAACTCTTAAAAAATAAATATGCAAGTACCTATTCCATCATAATATCATATATCATTCGATGAAGAGACTACTTCATATAAGACGAGTAATTGGGATTTTATTATGCTTCGCTTCTTGTGCTACTTGCAAATTGACCATCAGTCAAAGCAAATTTAGTTAACAATACTGAATTTAATTGACTTCTCATTGAAGCATAGCACTCATTCTTGTTAATTTACACCAAATCCATTAATTTTCTTTAAAATGTCTGCTGTATGGTGGAGTGTTGTTACTTGGATACATAGGCTGGGCTGGAAAAGTATGCATTTGCATCTCGAATGTTTGTTGTCTGCAAAAATAAAATCAACATTGCAGCTAAGTTGTGCATATATCCTGAACGCTGCTTTCATGGATATGCTAGACTCCACTGCAATTCTTTTTTCATAAGCTTAAGATAAATAGACATCACCAATTTTCTTGTCCCGTCAGTTTATCCATTTTTGCATTAATTTATTTTATCTATTCATTTACTTAGTTTATTTAGTTATTTATTTTATTTATTTATTTATTTATTCATCCATCCGTCTCCTTTATTATCGTAAATAATTTTGCTACGCGCACTTACCTATTCTATTCTCACATAATTCACGGAAGCAGTGTATTATACTTGCTATTCAATTCCTATACCTCAATCGTTTTTAAAATAATCCCAATTTTTTCTTATTCTAACAGTACGAATCATTCTTTGTTCACTCTTGAATGCGCTACATTTTTATTTATGTGTTTATATTGTCTAGAAGCGTTTCTCAGTGCTTTAGTTCATTTCATTTAACAACAGTTTTAAACACTCTGAAATCAAAATAATACTTGAATTCTCAAAGGATTAGATACTCCTAATAATTCCTCATAATGTTTCTGAATCTTCTCATGCTACATTTAAAATATTTTATCTTGCTTACTACTTTGCAGTATTTGTAGAATTCTATCATTTTCAAGAACCTCTACTTTTTTAAGCTGTGTTTTCGAATTTTTAGTTCATTTTTTAGTGCTTAATTAACTTTTGATTCTTGAATTACAATATGCTACCATCATCTTTTGTTTAGGCCGTTATTAAATTCATGTTCATTTTATTTGTCGGTTCACTGCGGAAAGTTTTGGAAGAATTTAGGGAAGGGAAGCAAGATGTGCCAGATTTATGAAGCTAAAATGTTCAATTGCAATGTCATTCCAGTCGCTACTGCAAGTGCTATCTATTCATAACGTAGGAACTTCCGGACGTTGAGTGACATACTATAGAGCAAAATTCATTATTCCTTCACGAATTTCAATAAAATATTTTCATTTGTTTGCTGAAAAATCACCCATGAACGGAAGTGGCTATTTAGACGTAAACATGTTACTACTGTGTGGATGTGTTTTTATTATGAACTTAGTTTCGTACTGTAACTCGTTTAATTTAATCGGTTTCCCATTTGTGAAAAGAGTAATAAATTTTGGAAGTGAAGAATGTTTAGACAGCTGAGGAAGTATGGAAATGAAGTTTTTATGTCATTTGTTATAACTTTCTATATTTCTGATACTATACTTTGTATAAAAAATCAGTGCAAGTATTGTGCTGATTTTTGAGGTCAAGTAATTATTATGTTAACTGCTGTAAATATTAATTGGCTGTTCATTCCTATACCTTTGTCATGTCAATGAACTAAGGAAATCGTCACTCTCTGACTTTATGCACACAGTTATTTGATTTCATTGCATTGAATTGCTTAGTTTTGTTAACATTTGAAGATTTAACTGCATACTTGCAAATAAGAAGAAACAGATGGAGACTGAAGCTTTTAACTTGACCATGTGAACTAAAGACTAAATATAAAACAGTTTTCAAGTAGAAATAAATTTTATGAGACCATCGCAGGAAATCGTTGTCGGTTTACTGATATCCGTAGAGAATATTCAGAGAGAGAAAAGATAAACTTGGCGACCAAGTCTGCTTACAAGGTTATTTGTCAAAATTGATGAAGTGATGTAAGTTTTAGCTCACATCTTTTCACTCTCACTCTCCCTTCCTTAGCTTACACTTCAACGTTATTCATAGAAGGTGGAGGAGTTGCCTGAATATGGAAAATATTGTTTTCTCCCAAGAAATGCAGTTGTGCTATTGAGCTTGCAGCTGCCTCGCAGTGTGCAGCTGCTTTATCCAAGCTTGTGATTCTGACTAATAGCTCTGCATTTCCCATCGTATATCACTTGAAAACTCCGCTTATTCTTAAAAAGAAATATGTAGAGATAAGTAAATGAACTTGAAACAACGCTTGTGCTGCTCCAGTACAATCTGTGAAGTGAAATTGAAGCATTTAGCAGCGTGATTAATTAACTCATTTTAAGACGATAGAATAGCTCATAATAATTAATGTATGACTGGATATTTCGATTTCGTCCAACTTTGTCGACTCTTCATGGTATTTCGTTTTCTTCTCCTAAACAAAGTTCATAGTAAAATGAGAAATGTTTAGACAACCAAAACAATATACAAATGAAGTTTTACGTAATTTGTTACGACTTCTTTTCCGTGTTTCTTTACAGTAGCCTGGTAAAAAGTATCTGCTTACTGTTGCTTATTTCATAATCTGAATATGTCTGAAATTGGAAGAATCAAAATACAAAATAACTATTACTGCTTTTCTTAAGCTAGCATAATTGGTTTCGTACCAGTTTTGCCTCACTAACACCAAGTGAGGCGTTTTATTTGCAGGTCGATGTTTTCAGTTACACAATTACAGTTCCTTGTTAAGTGGATTCACTTTGATTATGGTAGCGGTTGTTATTCATTTGTTTCACTGAATGAGCAAAAAGATTCATAGTTTTGAAGAAACTGTATTTGAATTAGGCTGTAAAAATCTTTAACAAATCAGTTTTGTGGAGGAATGAAACATTATAATCAGTAATTTTATACCTAATATTTCAGCATTTCTATGCATATTGGAAAAATGAAAACTTTGTAAACTAATATCCAATCTTTACTCTTTTCACTATTTTCTTCTCAATATTTAATGTAGTGAATTCAGTGGCATTTCAAGATATAAAGTAGTTATTTTGTTTTAAGTTTGTAAAAAAATTGTTCTATTTTTTATCAGTCATTCATTTATGCATCGTTAACCAGCAACAATTAGATATCGCGTAATTGCATTTTAAAATTGAAAAAAAATGATATTTTATAAATGCGAGAAATTCATAAGTTTCAATTTCAAGCTTTTTTATTGTTGAGAACAGTACGTTTCTAGAAGTTCTCGTTATTTATGTAATCCTCATTTTGGGGTATGATTATTGGTCACATTTATTCATGCGTATTCCTAAAAATAACAAGTTTTTTTTCCTACATTATTTGTAGCTTCACCTTCGTATTACATCATTATCTATCAAAGTGTGTTTGTTTGACGGAAGATCATAATTGCTCGTGTTATATGCTTTTTTAGTCATTTATTTTCCTGTTCTATTTTACTTATTTTTGACTACCTTTAGTATTCCTTGTACTGATTTGTTTGGTCATTATATTTCAATGAATCGTCTTGGTTCTGAATAGGTCTTACTTTTTAATCACTCGGTATGTGATCATGAGTTTACCGTTAAGTTCATTTTCTTTACAAAAATGAATTATCTGATGCTTTTGCTTTATTAACTCCATTCTGCACTATTTATATCATTGTGTCTTCATTTGTTTCTGATAGTCATCTGTTTTGTCAGCAATCATTTTGTCCATACTGGTCAAAATAGTTTTTTGGAAATAGCGTTTGAAACAGGAAACATGTGAATATTTGGCGTAATATTAGCTATATAAAAATGGGACTTACAACATCGTTCGATTTTATGAGCATATGTCTGCTGTAAACTTTAAATTTGATGTTTGTAGGGAAGGGCAAAGAAAGAAAAGTTTGAAAGACGCATCATATTCGCTAATGAAATGAAGGAAAGTATCACAAGCGAGGTAAGTTGCACGGATACGTTCATGATGGTGTGAGTGAGGGGCACTTGGTCGATGGATCGCTCACTGAGAGCTGATTAAATGGCAGGTAGATCAAATTCCCCTACCACAACGACTAAGACGACGATTAAGCAGCAGTTTGATATTGTTCCGCCTCCTCCATTAGAAACTACTGATAAAGAAAGACAACGTTTTTTAGGTATTTTTGAAAAAATGTTCAAAACATTTATTCTGAGCATTGATTTATTATCTTGCGATTTTTGCTTCAAGTAAAACAAGCCGTAAAATGGAGTATCGCAAATGCTATTGGTTCCATCTAAACTAAACTATCGCTTCTGTTTCAACTTCACAAGACAAAAAAAAACAAATAGCAGCAAAAATACATGAATATATATATAACTGACGAATATATATGGATATAATCGTGCAAGTGAAATTTTGTCTATAATATGTAATGTTCATTTTGGGGTATACGTTTATTCAGGCGTATTCCTAATAGTAACAAGCTTTTTTTCCACAGTATTTGTAGCTTCACCTTCGTATTACATCATTATTTATCAAACTGTGTCCATTTGACGGAAGATCATGAGTGCCCGTGTTATATGCTTTTTTAGTCATTTATTTTCCATATAATATGTAATGTAATATTTGACATGACTTGTATCTTTATGCATTGCTAAACAAACTTCTAGTCTGTATTAGCTTATAGATGATGATTATGAGAGCAGTAATTGTGATAAGGGTGATTCTAAGCATTGTAGTAGAAGTAAACATAAAATGTAGTATTTTTGTAGAACAGGATTCGTCAGTTCATCATTATGACGATATACCTGAAGTGACGGAAGATGCTGTGAGAGAAGCATTGCGAAATGAAGCAAAGCGCCACAAATACTGGAAGGCTAGCGCTGTTACAAAAATGACCATAAATAGTATTGAAAATAGCGCTTGCTTACACGTAAGTTGGCTCTATTCATAACTTTTAAAATTATTGCTATTTTAGTCTTTCTAAACATTCATCACTTTCATCTAAGCTTATTGATGATGATCAAGTACTAAGAGTTATTTTTCTGTGATTGAGACATCTAATATTAAATTGTCTTCATTGTAAATTTCGGGCACTTTGAACATGTTTTTGTGAATATTTGATTGATTTGTTTTTGAATCAGGAAATTAATTGTTCAAATGTATATACTCATAAGAGTATATTTGAACTATTTCTCTCTTGAAATCAAATTGGAATTTCAGCATCATATTTCATTCATTTAACTCTAATTTCCAACCTAGACAACTACGCTGCAGTGGTGATTCATAATATTTTGTAGTAACTAGTAGAATATACTTTTACTTTCATTTACTCAGTCATTCTGAAATTGATTTACTTGGAGCATTAAAGCATATTGTCCTCAAAATTAAGAAGTTCAAGCACTTCTGTACTTGTAATCATGATGTCTTTTAGTATGCTCTTGAAAGCTTTACTGAAATGCGTAGCACAAATAAAGCTGTAGAAGGTGTTACACTTGGACAGTTTTTGCAAATTCAACAAAATAGTATCTCTACTGTTACAAGTATGGATGTTAATCCATGGGATTATGCAATTGATCCATCTGAAGCCTTCGTTGAGCAGGTTAGTTTTTGTTTTTCATTTATTTGCAATAACAGTCTGTACAACTTCAATGAAGCTTTGCCTTGAGTCATATGTGGTATGGAAGGGAGATGAGATATCCCAATATTTTTCCCACTTCCAAGCATAATTTTTATGCTACTTTTGCCTTCATCACAAATTTTATAGGTGAAAGTATTGGAAATGCCAGGAACTAGTGAACTAGTCGCTTGTCACTCTTGCAATGCGGAGGGCTTAACACATTGCTTCTATTGTCGTGGTTATGGTACCGACAAATGCACTTATTGCAGGTAATTTTGTGTGCAGGCAGTATGTGATGTAACATTTATAAATACGTGGTGAATATGATTTGAAACGATACTTCATCTCAGATGCTTTCTAAAGCTGCATTCAGAAGTTATTAATTTTGATGGCATTATATGTATGACTAATTTGTGTACAACCGTTACTTGAAACGTTGGCTAATGAGAATAATTTCTAATTGGTTTTTCTACTGCTAAAGGTTTTAGTATATGAAATATTACTATTTGATATCCTAACATTTGTATGAGATCACAATTCAGGATGTCTGTAGTTCATCTCTTTTGGATTGGGTTTTATAGTTAGGCTGAAGTCTTGTTTGATTTCAGAAGTTCTTTATTCAATTCATAACCGATCTGTATTCACTTTTGCAGAGGAACAGGAATGAAAGCAGGAGTTGCCCACCCAGCCATTTATACTCATCCAATGGTTGCTTCCTTTCCTCATGTTAGTCTATATATTAATGCCTGTGACAGGCAATCTAATGATATTTTCTTTCAATATCATACTTCTCGTACAGAAACATCGCGCAGAAAAAGCAATCATTTCAATCGATAACACTAGCCAATTGTATATTAGCTCGTGTGCTTTTTAGTCAGACTTGAGCCGAGGTTACCCAAGTTCAGGCACGGCAGTTGTAAGACCTTCATCGGGAGGCCTGGCCTATGGTGTAGGTACACCAATCCATTTTATGGCGCGAGCAGGAGTCCCACCGCCAGGTATTGGCCAGCACGACTTGTGTCATTTTTGTCAAGGTCGTGGCATTCGGGAATGTTCACACTGCAAAGGGCATGGAAAGAAACCATGTTCAGCGTGTGGTGGGAGCGGCAGCATACGAACTTACATCAAATTACGAGTACAGTTGTAAGCAGTCATACCCATTTTAATATTGATCAGTTTTCAAAATTTCACATTTCTACACAATTTTAGCTCAAACACTTCATATTTCGTTAAAGATTAAAGTAAATTCTCAGGATTTTGCAGTGCCGTTGAGCACAGTGACTATTATAGTCCCTGTGATGTACCTGAAAAAATGCTATCAAGAGTTGGTGGAAAAGTGATTATGAGCGAATGTCAACCTTATGTATGGTTTTTTGAATGTATTAGATTTTCATTTTATCGAAAAAGTAGTTGGTAATAGTCATATGACAGAATTGAAAATTACTTTCGTGTTTTTAAACTTCAATGTCTTCTCATATGATTTCAGATATTGCCACTAAAAAAGTATCCTGTTCAACAAATCAATGAAACAAGTCGACAAATGTGCGCTACACATTTGGAGAAATGTATAGGTAAATGTCGCATTATTAAGGTGAGACATGTTACAAAATAAAAAACTTGAAAGTGCCAAAAATCATAGAAAAATAGTAGTAGTATGTGAAATTATAAATGTAGAGCGTTCCATTGAGTAATCAGATGAATATGTTAAGCAAGAATTTTTATGGACAATTGTTTGATGATATGACTGATTAAATCACAAAATTCTAGCAACGACATTTTCTGGAAGCCATACCAGTAGCCAAAGTACATTATCATCTTGGTTCGCGAGAAGGTATATTCTGGATATATGGTGTTGAACACTACTGCTATGTACCGCACTATCCATCAAAATGTACACTGATATAAAATTCCTGCACAACTGTTAATATGTTATTTATTATGTATCATATTATTAGTGCGCCTTTTCTTTCAAATAAATACATTTATTACAGTAAAGTGTTACGAAATATAATCATAACTTGGATCCAGATTGTTCTCGTGATATATATTTTTGAGAAGCAAAGAAATCATTGTAGATGCATTACATAGATCCATATAGTTTTCCATCACTGGATGCAGTTTCAGAACTACAGGACTAAAAGTTGTGGTTTGTAGCAAGAATTTAGAATAAACATGGCTAGCTTGACACTCCATTATTGAGAAGCTATAAAACTGAAGGGCACAAACTTGCACTCGCAAACTTCGATGTGGAACCCATGAAATCGAAGTGCCGATCCAGATTGTCTTGTGATTAAGCTACTGCTAAATATCAAACTCTCGCGCAGGTTTATATTCGAGTAGCAAGCAAACTACTGAGAGAATTGCATGTATTGTGTGTGTGGTAAGTCATACCTGTGTAAGTCTAATAGTGTTTGGGAGAGGAAGTAGTGTGAAATTTACTTTGGAATCGCTTGCTTATTTTAATTCTTCTTAAAGGGTTTTTATAACGAATGGGATGTTCAACTTTTTACTATTTATTCACATATCGCTGCGTGTTACAAGGATCGTATTAAGTAAATTGGAGGGAGAAGAGATTAGCAAGAATTTGACACAATATAATAGTACCAACAGTACCAACTTATCAAATCTCGAAGGTAAGCTTATAATCTTAAATTTTTTTCTGTAAGTGAGTGTTATTTCTCAGCTAATATTTTATTTCGTACTTCGGATTTTCGTACTTGTGTAGTACGTTTGACGAAGTCTCATGGTAGTTCTGCTCTTCATTTTCTCACTTTCTTGACATTTATGCCATGTTTTTCACCTTCGTTGTATATCCACTGTCTCATATGCTATAATATAAATTAAAGTCAACAATAGAGTATGACAAACTTGAATAAAGTTAGTTATTGTACACTTATGATCGGTAGTAAGTTTCAGTGTTGTAGCCGTTTTTCATTTCTGTGGGACCATTCATGACTCCTCACTTTTGCATATCCAAAGAAAATTGTTGAAAAGTTGTTTCTGGTAGTCAATTTGTTAATTTTTACAGTTCTAGCTTCGGCAGCTTTAACATGCAAATATCCGAAAAATGCTTTTCAAATATTGATAAAGAATCAGTGTCCAATCGCTAATTCTTTTTGTATCATTGATGTACCTTTTGATGTATCAGTCAATGCGAGATATAGATGCGCCACAGGTTAGCAAGCATATAATTTTTGTAGATCGTACTTCTTATCTACAATATGACTTATATTATCTATATCAACAATTTTGTTACATGAGTCAGTTCAAGAACAAAACTGTTTATTTCAGTGTTTCGCTTTTGTTGCAATTTCATTAGTATTGTTTTTGGGCACTTTTGTTCTTAAAGATTCATTAAGATGTATTTTGAGGATAGATATGTTTGTATTTGTCTCTTGGCATTCCATAATTAAGTAATAGAAAACTTACAAACTCCTGTTTTTATTGCTGTGTCGCGAACTTTCTGTCATCAGTTATTTTTATTTAAGCGCCTCGTCAACTAAATCCTGTCGTAAACTTGATGAATTCATCACAGTTGCTGGCTCATATTACTGCAGACAATCATTTAAGTAGTGGTTATTCAAACTGTATGTTAACTGTATTTTATGCGCCGGATTGTGTATTTAGCTCACGAATGGCTCCTCATTTATTTCTTCTCTCACAAGTATACCCTCAGTTGCATATTGTTGCTACGGATGCATCAGTTCATAGCAAGTAATTTTACTTTTATATAAAAATTTTTTTACCGGCACATTTGAGAAAGATGTAGTATTTAATCTGATTAAATATACATAATCATAACTAGGTTGAATAGTCGGTATGGCATTATCGCAACACCCACTGTATTACTATGGATAGATGGTAACGTAGTTTCACGTATGGATGAGCCACCTTTTTCAATAGCAGCCTTCAAAAATTATATAGAAAGATGGACTGACCTTGAATCAGAATATTACTCTGGTGCGGATGATGAGAATTCATCAGTTAATGTTATAGGCAAGTTCGAATTCTCAATTTTTAATATTTTCTCTTAGAAGATAGCATATACTTGTAAAATTCCGAGTTAGGTAACCATATAATCATCAGTTTTTGTTTCAATTAACAAAATGGTTTCAGAATTTCGAAGAAATAGGTTCGATTGGTATCTCCTCATTTCTTGGTGCTCCTTTGTTTTAAGCGTTACATATTTTTTTATAAATTCAAAGTGTGGAAAAGCTTTTTGGCAAAAAATCCGCATCAATTAAAATGAAGCGAATGGAACCTAGCGATAACTTCTTAATGACGGTTGTCGTTTAATTCTAAACTCCGTTTGTTTTTTCCTTTACTGTATGAATAAAGTTTCTGAGATGAATTAGATACAATCTACAAATGTTTGCTTTGTATTGTCCCATTCGGTAACCCGAAATCTTTACTGTCGGGAATATTTCCGTTTTGAGAGATTTTTCCTGCTTTTCACTTGTTTTTAGTGATATTTCTACTAATGCATAAGAAATTCTTACCGGAAAATTTTGACTCTTTTTTGATCAACAATTTCGTTTACTGGTATCAGTTTCTCATTGGTACACCATGCCTACCTTCGTGTATGTGAGAATAATTTTCAGATTCTGAGGGCCAGTGTACTGTGCGATAGATGCACAACTAAACTCTACTTGCTATATGGTATGGAAGAAGAGGCACTGATTTATTAATGCATTATTTTACAATATAAAGGAGAATAATTTGTAGTCTTTATTGCATTTGGCGCGTTTCTTGCTGTAGGGTGTTGTAAGTTATAGTAATTATTCCTAATTCATCGTTCTATATCAGACATTATCCGGAGAACAGTTTCTTCATGATACGGAGGAGCTGCAATCTGTACACCAACGGGTAATCCGGTTGATTCCTGAAACTGCTGTATAATTAAAAATGGTTTTTAAACCATGCCGATATATTGTTGTGAAATTGCTTTTAGTTTTGCTTTATGGTTGGTTCATCATATTTTCATAGTTTTGACTAGACTGCATTCAAAAATTACTTTAACTGCCTCTTTCACAGTCTTGTACCACGGATCAGTTTCAGGATAAGATTGAAGTTTTTTCTCGTCTTCTTCATTTACTTTAGTGACACACACAGTACCAGCAGCGAAATCAAGAAGGTTGAAAATCCCACAGTAAGAAGTAGTTGAGATTAGTTTCATTGCTACATGATGTTCAATTGCGGGAAGTACCTGAAATAATTTTGGACCTGACTTTTCAAAATTAGGAAGGGATACAGTAAATTAGCTGGTAAACTTTCAAATTTAAAAAATTCAAAAGTAAGGCGAATCCAAACGCAAGTTTATATATGAAAGTTGTAGATCTCATTTGAGTTGAAACATTTGCAAACAAATGGTTGTTTCGGCAAAATCTCATGATTAAAAAGTACAAGTTTTTTAGCAGGAGCATATGCATTAGTTGTGTTATTAAGAAAGTATAAATGCAATGGAAAAAAGAAAACTACTTGCACTGGACAAATAATCGCATCTATTTGCTGACTCTGCAGAGCATGCACAAACAGATCTCGATAATTTGCTATTTCTGCATAAGTTTGACGGAGTTCAGCTGTATTTATTGGTAAAGCACAAAGAAATTGGCCGATGCGAGGATACAGTGGCATAAGCAGTTTGCCCAAAATTCGTTTTAACAAACTGGGTAGGTGCAGAAGGCGTACTGTTGTTTCAAAGTCCTTATCTATTAAATCCTGAACGATGATGCCACAATCAGTACTTACTCATTTGTTTAATTTAATAAACGAATAATTAATAGGAAGGTTTCATGATCAGCAAATATTTTGATTAATTTTGGATTAATTTTTTTTCAAACCTTATTGAATTTATCTAGCAAATACTGGCCACCGTCAACCGTCAAAGCGCCGATGAATAGTTCGAAACCTTTGGTAAGGTTTGGTGGATCGAATTTCACCAACTGATGTCCACAGTTCTCGAGTTTTAATATAGTTTCATGTACCGCTCGTTGTAAAGCAGGAGTCGGTTTGAACCACTCGTCATCATCGTAATAACCTATAATATCAGTTAGTATCAAAATTGCTTTTCCACTTTGAATATGGTTCTCGAGTCTTACTACTTATTAACAGGATTGAGTGCGAGTTGCAAAATGCCATATTTGAAATCAACCAAGAAAAAGCACCAGAAGTGGTTTTCAAGATTTATCCTGGAGTTTCCGAATCGTTCAAATGTACATTATGAATTGATAAGCATGGTCCACGAAAAATGATACCTATTCGTAACGGTTTTTTTTGACTGAATTGTTGCTCATCCCAGTCTACAGGAGCAACGTATGGGTCATGTTTTGAGATCCATTTTCCAGACCAAATAATACGTAAAAATGTAACAAGCTCCTCGGTGTGAGTAGCCATTGGGCCGGTAGAACTGTTGACAAGTGGACGACCAGGCACAGAACCAAGAGATCCTTGTTGAGAAAGTCGTAAATGTGATGGCTGCAATCAACAATTCAATAATTTCAGATTGCATACCCTGAGAAAGCGCTTGAGTGAAATGAATTATAAGATTAAAAAAAAAGGACAAAAGTTTGAACGGTAGTAGAGTAGTAAACCTTGATACCAGCAATGCCACAGAAATGACACGGGTACCGAATAGATCCACCGACGTCACCACCAATACCAAGGATAGAACCTCCAAAGCTAATTAGTGCGGCTTCTCCACCGCTTGAACCTCCACATGTTCTTTTTCGATCATGTATATTTATTGTAGTGCCATAAATTGGATTAGAGCATGAAAATGATAGTAGACTCTGTGGTACGTTTGTTAACACGAATGGTACAGCGCCTTAAAATATTCGAATTTAGACTATCCTTGTTAGTTTTTCCTTAGTTGTATGTAGATACCCATGTTTAACTGTACAAAAAAGTATCCTCTTGCTATACCTTGAAAATAAAAGCACAATCGACTTCTCACCAATGACATTAAACAGAAGACAGTGTTTATATGTATACTTATTGAAAGTCTGGTTGAAATAAGTACCAAGTTCCTTAATTTGATGGATGAGTAACGCATCTTCAGCAGCTAAGTTTGTCAAATCCTGAGCATATCCTCTTGTTTGCGCATAGCCTTTTATCTTTAAGAGTATATTTGGGTAGGGCACTAAGTTAAAATTAAAAAATTCGATCTGTAAACATATAAAATAAAAATGCATTAATTCACTGCATTGAATTTATTAGCATTTGTAGTCTGTGCGATATTGCATTAACTGAAGGATAAAATAGCAAACTTTGATGCTTTCTTTCACACTTATTGGAATACCGAAAAGTGGAGGTCGTTGGTACGTTTGGCTTTTAGCTTGTTCGTCCAATTCTTCAGCCCACCAATCGCTTTCCTTCAAATTAATAATGACGTGTAAGAAGGAATTACAGTGTAATTCTCTTATAAAATAATATTTGATGGTGCATAAAAATTATCTTGATTATAAATAACCGAATAAATTATTTTATCACTGCTTTCAAAATTGTTAAGAAAAGAAGCACAGCCATACAATTACACTAACTTTAAAGATGAGTAAAATTTCACGTAAAGATAGATAACTTTTTATTTGTTGAAATTTCCGCTATTTCATTTCAGTGTAAATATGATATTATCTCAGGAGTAAGTTTTTGGTAACGTTTGTAAGTCCACATACAGTAATGAAAGTTGTCACGCAGTTTGTTGCATAGTGCGCTTGTATAGCTTTTTCTTGGTAAGTTCTAAGTACCTCTTTTGCGGTACACTTTCCTGACTGCAGACATTCTGAAACAAAAATAGTCGCAAGTAGATTAAAATGAATTAATTATTTGTATGTTATTTACAAGAACGAAGAAAAGCAATCAACCGATCTCTTACGGATTAACTGTTTTAGATCCAATTTAGCGATCATTTCTTTCCGTTCTACTGGAACTTCTGCACATTTCGCACTTACCTCTTCAATTGTTTTCTCTCGACATTGCAAGCATTCCTGTACTGCTAGCTGTAGTTTTTCTTTTTGCTAAATTATATAAATTCAATAAATTCACTTTTTATCAAATAAGTAAAACAAACTTCTCTCTATATGCTCTATCTATGTACTGATAAATACGAATTAATCAAAAATCTGCCATGATCATTATCAGGTTTGGAAAAATTTTGATAACCAAAATTAACACGTATATTTTTGTATGATCATTCCTTTCCCCTATAACTTTGCACAAAACAAACTTTTCGTCGCAACCACCACTTGGAGGCAATGTATAGAGCGAGAATTGATATGGTAATAATATAGACAATCATCACGGAGGTGTCAACTTATTCTGCAAAATTTTCCCACTCTTTATGCTAAGGCTAAAAAGTGAATTTTTGTTTTGCTTTCAACTATTAATTCGTACATTGGGATTTCGAAATTTGTCTCTGATATAAATTTAAAAGTGAAATTACTTTACTTTAACGGACTTAATTTTCTTGAAAAATAAAACTTAATCTTGTCAATACCGAAAAACTCTTAGTTGATGAATGAATCTAGCTTATAAGAAAGTAAATGCTAAGAATGAGGTGAATTCCTTACAACCTAATAATGAAGTTACTTCATGGAGAGTAAACAAATCAAAAATCAAAGATTGAATAAACAATTAAGGTCTAGGGTTGTCATGCCCTCATTTTCGCGGATGCCAATGGTGGTAAGAACAAGACTGAACTTGTGATTTGTTATTGATCAAGGGCAATTAGAAATTTTTTGCATTTTTTGTTACAAATAATGCGAGTTAAAAGAAATATTGATCAATCTGATTCATATTCAGAGCTTCCACAAGTTAAGCCAGTTTTTATTTCTGATGAGAGATTATGGAGCTTAAAGTTGACGTGAATGTATGATTTGAAGAAGGATCTGCATGAACTGTCTAAATAACAATTTTTATCTGCTCAAGAATGAAAAAGCTGATGGATGAGATTTTTATTTGATTTCCTAAACTGAAACGATACAAATACTTGGATTTATTCTATATTGTCAACATATTATACTTTTAATTACCATATATATAAGATTGTAATAAGTAATTATTATTTCATTACGTCATTTGGATGAACAAGAGGAACCATAAATAAGAGGTTCATTAAGGAATGTAATAAAAGCTCAGTGTATCAATCAGTATGATACCAAAACTGGATACTTCAATAAGAAGTCATCTAAAGATTTATTGACTTATATTATTTAAATATAAACGATTTATAATTAAAACTATCATTATATATTATTTGTCATGCACACATTGTGAAAACTGTTAGCGATCATTAAACTGTGCTTGTGAAAGAATGAAATGAAAATAATAATGAATGCTTACTGCTACTGAGCAAGCAGCAGATAAAAACTGGCAGCTTTTTAAGCTCATTAAATCATTCTGGCACTCGTCTTGGACTTTTTTAGAAAAAATCTCTGCTGAATCATTTTCAAAATCTCTTTCGATAAAATAGCAATAAACTGCACCTTAATATCTCGCTGGTAGTGATATATTCATTTTCAGCTTCAGTTTTTTTTTTTAATTTCAAACAAGTAGACTTAATTAGTAATGGACTATAATTTTTTGAATATTCAGAGAATAAAACTGTTGTCAGCTAACTACGAAGTATTTCAACAATTTGTTTATCTAAACAGATGAAATATTTTATTCGTCAAGAGAGAAGCATGAATTTTTACATGAAACACTCAACTGTATTATTTCGGAAGCAAACATGCATACTTCTGTATATTTTTATAAAAATTAAACAATACAACTGCCTAAATCAATTTCAAAAAAGAAATAAATAAATTTTTGCAGGAAAAAAATATTATCTTTGATCATGAATTAGTGCTAATCTTTGTGATGCAAGTGACATCGTAACTAGTTTTTTTCCAAAGCAAACTTTCAAATTAGTTAGTTCTTGAATAAAATATGTATTATTAATTATAAGTAAGGAAAAAAAACGAATTACATATTTTGCTAACATTTGTCAAAAGCAATAGAAAACAATTAATCATTACAAGCATGACTGAGATTCATAAAACTAACATTTCAGATTTTCATTCGAATTTTAGTGATTACTTGCATATATAATAAATTACGCATGCAAATAAAGGTATAATTACGTAAGCAAACTTCAAACTTATGGCTGAAAAAACATAGTCCAATCAATTGTAAGCAATAAAGGAGAGTATAGGTAGCTTTCTATAACACCGATTTCTGATAAATTCGTAATGCGTACTATTTAATTGCATCAGCGTGTGCCACTGTTGAAAAAAATAAATAAATAAAAAAAAATAGCATCGTGGGTTCGTTTCGGTTGCAAAAATACGCATCATCAAAAAGAAAATCAGGTTTCGGCAGTATACTTTTGTATATTCTTGTCATTTAGAAATAATTTATTATATAAAAGTTATCAGATATTTGAGAAGAAATGGTTGCGAATGCAAGATATTCATTAAAAAGTATAAAATTTCATTAAAGAACAAAGTTCAATAATAATAATTATTATAATTATAATTATAATTATATTCGCAATAAGTTTAAAAATGAATTGTTTAAATCGTTTTGAAACAGCAATACAATGTCAAGTTTTATGTGTGGCTAATATCAAAACAGTTTGAGTATTGCACTGCTTGAAACAAATTAAATGAATTTTATCAAGATGGACTAGAATAGAGAAGTTCATTACTGAGTATCATATATCATATGCACAGTTTTATACAACAATTACTGATTGCTAACTGTGTATTGTTGAAACAAAATTTGTTAATTTTTATTAAATTGCTTTTATAGTAAAACAAAATTTATTTCAAATAAACTTGTTAAGTACTAAGAAATTTCATTTTTGTATAAAACTTATAGATTTTGAGGTCTTTTAAAAGCCATCTCAGCAACACTTCTTTTGAATAACATTTGAAACTTTGAATCCATTGACAAGTAAAATTTTTTTTTCTCGAAGGTTTTCTAAGAGATTAAAAATGCACTCAAATAATTTATATTAACAATAAAAATAGAAGATGTAGTGGTTATTCTTGTGATGCACAAAAAATAGAATCCATTCAATAGCAGTAATTTTTAAAATGCTTCACATATTTTGAATCATTGTGCTTGATTAATTATGAGTAGTATTGTATAGTTGCAAAAAAATAATCTATTCAATTTTCAGTCATTAAAAAGGCATGGTCGTCTTTAAAGCAAGCATTATTCCAACCAATTTTCAGAAACAAATTATTCGCAGCATTTACTTATTCATATTTCCATTTGCATTTTCAAACTTTTATTATTTATTTATAAAATTTAACATTTTATCTTTATTATTAAGACTAAATTAGTTTATGTGATCTTGTTTTCATCACTAGTTTATTCGAAACTTTAAACTATTGTTAATTCTTTATTTTATTGACTTATCAATTTTTTAACAATTACATTTACAGCAGTGGGAAAAAATAAGATGTGTGTAATAACAATATTTTTGGGGCGTTTTAAATGTTTTGAAGCTAAAGTAGTACAAGCAGTCAAATTTGATTTGTTTTAATTCATAATACAATAAAATTTGAGATGAACCAAATGAATAAATTATTTAATATTATATTATTTTATCATCATTTAAAAGCTAAAGTTACTAAATCTCTTTTCAATTCTTTTTCTTTCATTTATTTCATTAAAATAATTTTCAAAACTTTTCACGTCTCTTTAATCAGTAAATAATTTCTAACTGCCATTTTTTACCAACTGATTTTCACTATTAAAGTTCAATACTTTTAACTGTTCTAAAAGTGTAAACGAAAGAAAATTTTTAAGCATGAAATTTGTGGCATGTCCATGTTTTTCGGAATAGAAAGTGTTATTATCTGATTAACTTCAACTTGTTTGCAGTTTTTTCAAAAAAGTTTGTGTGAAAATTGTAAACTATAACGACTTAGAATGCATCGTTTTGTTGATAATTTGCATGCATTTAAGTGTGTGTACTGAAATAAATTCTGCACATCATTTTCAATACCTGCTGCAGTATTCACTGTAAAAAATTTTTGAAAATTATGCAAGCAACTGCAATTCAGAGAGCACTTCCAGCAAGTTCAAAAAATTACTTACAAGAAATCGTAAATTCAGAGTTTTGGATTTAGCATTAATCATAACGAAAACAAAGTAGAAAATTAAATGATAACCAGTGAATGTTTGCTCGTTTCTTATCTGTTTAAAAATTTGCTATAAATATTTTAATTGCTGTACAAAACTTTAATTTTGAAAATGTACAGATTAATAATGGACAAATTGATTATTCATATTTACGGATTCAGATTCAATATCATGAATAAATAATATCGGAATTTATAAATATGGACTTGCCTTGCTTTTGAAAACTTTGGATTGAAGAAACACGATGAACTGCATTGAAACTTCAGAAATAAATACTTAATTTGTGATTAGTTAAGATGTCATATCCTTGCTTCGATTTATCTGATGTGAAGATTTTCCAAATAATCCATTTTCAATGCTAATAATTAGGATTTGTTCATAATGTGATTCCAATAACATAAATTTTGCATGTTTTCGAATTTCGAATGCGCACTATGCAAATAAAAAAAGCTTGAATGTGCTTGCTTGATATTTTATTTATTAATACTCAAAAAACTATTACTATTAAAACAGCAAATTGAATTGCTTTTGATGATTTTTTAATTCTTTGAAAGACACCAATTTTGAATCTAATGAAGAAATTTGAAAATTCAAAATTTCAGTACATAGAGTTTCATTTGAAGCAAATTATTCCGTTTCTAAATCATTCTGACCCTTCTTATGCAAACAAAAATTGCAAAATTATCATTTTTTCAATTTTGCTCTTGATTAAAAAAATGATGAAATAAAAGATCGAATCACAAACTAGTACTATGATCACTTTTGTTGTCGGCAGATACAGCGCAAATGCGTCTTTAAAAGGAGAGATCAAATTGGTGAAGTAGTTGAATTTAAGGTACAGAAAGATGAAACGTGGCGTACTTCTATTAACTTTTGTGCACAGTATCCTAGCACAGATGACTTTTACGGACAACTGGGAAAAGCGTACGATACTACCCAGTTTTGTTCAAGGATGGCAAAGGAATGAACTGTATGCGTTTTCGCTCTTTTCCAGTTTACCTGCAAAAAACTTCGATAATTTTACTTTCCATACTACTTAGAAACCAAAACTGATCATCGTAGAGCTAAAATGCATAATTTTTAAACATGAATGAATGCGTAGTTTACAAGATTTCCAATATATACTTGAAGAACTGGTTTTGTTTATTTATGTATAATAAACTTCTTTTTCAGAAAAAAGAGTTTATTACACATAAATAAGCAAAAATGCGTAAATAATTTTATTTTGCATGATAAAAATATAAAACTTATGTTGATCATTCAGTCAAGTAAAATCTGACGATAAGCACTAATAGCCTTCACTTGTTTTACATTTTATGCTTACAAGTCTTTAATATATATACTAAATTTACGAAAATTGGAAATAATTTTCCACTAAAATATAAGTATATTCTATTAGTCGGTATGATGTGAGCTGCTTGAAATCATAACACAGTGATCTAGGAGATAATGAATACTTAGAACTACTTCAGCATGGTAAATACGCCCTGCTGGGATATCGCTTCCAAAGGATTGAAAGAATTAGAACAACTTCATAAACGACAATATGATATCATGCGGACACTATCCAAATGCTTCAATTCTCAGCATATCGATTCATTCCCTAAGGCTTAACCGCAGTATGTCTTCTACTTTTTATCAGTGCAACGTTATTTGTTTCGCATTTCAAAAGTCTGAATTTCTGAAATTGCTCAATAGAAAAACAATAAGCTGACGTTGCTGTGACATGACCGATTTATCTAAATTCTTAGAACGATTCTTATTTAGCACTGAACTTCAGTGACAGAAAAAACAGAAATTACGCTTCCCATACAGATAATGTTGCTTCTGATTGCTACATCGTGTCTCAACATTTTTAATACTGTGTTCATTAATGGCTTATCATTTGAAACATAATAAAACTACTCGTCCCACACGACGACCAAAAGAATTACACATCTATGTATATTTTATTTTCGATTTATAAGTGATGTTAAATTGGCTAAAACAACTTCTTCCTGAATTTGCAATAAGGTAGACTTCCAACAAGTTACAAACAAGATAGCTAAACCACTTCTGGTAATAAAAAAAATGAAAACTAAGGTTTAATGGAGTCTAATATGAGCGAAACACCGACATACAAGAACTAAACTTCATAATTCGCTTCTAACAATCTAAAACAAAACAATTTCTAGAATCATAAACGATGGAAGAATATGATCCATACTCAGTTCTTACAATATTATCATATGCATTGACAAATTCACAGAGAAAAGTTTTATAAGTAAAATAAACATTTTTTTTCAACATAATACAGAACGACATGCAATTAGCCAATATTCAAAAATTTACTACCGCTAATTTAGACAGAAATCGAAGCAAAAAATACATCGAATTATTTTTTCTCGAAAGTCTGCAATAAAAGTATGACATTTCATACATAAAGTGAAATTTGATGTGAGCGCTTACTTTTTATACTATTTTAATACAGAATAAGAACACGTCTCAGCGAACTTGAAGAAGATATGAAAACATTACATTTGGATAAACAAACCATTATTATAAAATTAATGAAATGATGCAATAACAGAATGATGAAGTTCCAGCAAAAACGATACTCAATATTGTGGTCACTGACCACTAACATAAAGAATGACGTGGTAAATAACAATATTATGAGTTTACAGTGCTTTGCTAAGCAAACATAACAATATAGTGAGTAATCGAAAATAGTTCACTCTTTCCTTACAACACAATATTAAATATGAAAGCAAAAATCTGGCAACATTTGCAAGGAATAGATTAGATACGTTTTTTCCTGATATCAATATGACATATTTTCTGGGGATTAGTCACTTTTTTAGAAGTATAATTTACCAAAAAATTTAAGAGTAGTTATAAAGCCAAATCATCAATGAAAACAAGATTACTGCACTACAAAACGCTGTGAGCTCGAAGACCATTTGTAAGTACCCGAAAAAGCAAAGCCATGCTTGGCCATCATTTCATCTGCTTCCTTTGGTCCACGACTACAAATTTTAAGAAAAGTAAAGCCATAGATTTGAAAACTTATAGTGAAAATAAAAATTACATAATAGAATAATTTTAACAGTAGTGATGGTTAGGGAGTAGTATTTCATCAATCATGAAATCTGTCATGTGAAAATCTGCTTAGCAAAAATTGTCAAATTAATAAATTTAATATGTGATGAACATACTTTAAAAAAAGAGATGAGCAATATTTTAATTCGAAGAGTAATGAATGTTCAATAATAATTAAAACCAACTTAGAAGATAAGTAAAAACAACTGAGAAACTTGCCTTCCGAAAATATATTCAATAGGCTCCGGTTTCTCCCTTTCTATTTGACGTAATACTGGAGTGAAGATTCTCCATGACTGTTCCAATTCATCAGTTCGAACAAAATCTATTTGAGAGCCCATTATAACTTCAAGAAAGAGTCGCTCATAAGCATCAGGAAGACGCACATCCTGGAAAATCAACAACAATCGGCATTTGCATAAAGTAATATTCTCTCCTTATAGCTATTCGAAACATATTTAAAAGCTAGTAAGACTCATTACTAATCAGATTCATTTTTTAGATCACATTAAGCAACGATGGAAATGAAACTATACAAAACCGACAATTATTACTTTATATCTATATCCATAAGTTAGATCAAGTTCAGTTTCCTCTACAGAAAATCCCATGCCTGGTTTTTTAGACATCAATTTGATATAGACAGCTTCATTCGGTTGTACTCTTATAACTAGTTCTGTTCTTTTCAACTGTCCTTTAGGGTAAATATCTCCCGCAACTTCCTTAAATTGTACTCGTACTTCTGCCTTGCATTCATTGAGTGCTAGAAACAGATTTACAAAATTTTCAATTATTGATTCATAAGACACACGGATTCCATTTTTGTAGTTATCTTTCTTGTATTCAAAAATCTAAACCTTTTCCACAACGAAGAATAAAAGGAACGCCATCCCAACGCTCATTATCAACTTTTAACACTGCTAAAGCAAAAGTTGGTGTTGTTGAAAACTCAGAAACACCTGTGTCGTCACGATAACCATAGCATTCTTCTCCATCTGTAAATATGGTATTCTTTTTTATACTCATAAAAAAGCGTAACAGTCATAAAATACTTTTGATTTGATGATAAAATTACTGATTGCTTCAGGGTTTCTGATATACTGCCCAAGAACCATATCTTTCAAATGGACGGGTTTGATACTTTTCATTACTTTAACCTGGAACAATCATGTTAATTCAGTAAAGCAAATATGCAGAGTGGGAAAATCGCTTCCGAGATTTCCTGCCAACTTTTTCTTAAATTTCTGAAAAAAATCACAGTGAGGAACTCTCGTACAGTCTTAATAATAATGGTGTTTTAATCTCACTACTTTGTCTGTTTAATCTAGAATAGTTAACCTAACATTTTTACTGTAATATATTCGCTTTCAGCAAAGACATCATAGTAAAATTAACAAAGACAAGAAATATTCTAATGCTGACCGGACTTTAATATCTACACGGTTAACTTCAGTGAAGACATTATATATACTGTAAGCTACAATAAATCTTATCTAAAATGACTACTAGTACTTAGCAAATCTGTCTGCTTTGTTTCTTCTTTAATAATTTCATTAATTTGATGTGCTTAATGATTTCATTAAAAAGCAAATAGTTTAATTACTACAGAGCAATTTTGTGACAGAAAATAATTCTGCACATCAAATTCAGAAAGCTGTAAAAGTTGAATAAAAAATTCAAATTAATCTGTTCCTTGAATTCATCGACACATCAATGTTTTAGAATGAATAATCCAGAGAAATTATAACATGCAAAAACATTACCTTTTCATCACGAATATCCTCTGCATTTAGACTAACGGGTTTTTCCATAGCAACTAACGTCAAAATTTGCATTAAATGATTTTGCATTACATCACTGAAAAGAAAAGTTCTAAAAATTTCAGAAACTTGAAGGAACAACAATGTCATAAAATAAAATAATTATCCGATTCGAAGACTCAATCGAAAACTTGCCGAATAATGCCACATTTGTCAAAATATCCAGCTCGACCTCTCGTCCCAAAATTTTCTTTGAATGAAATAACTATGGCAGCTATATTGTCACGATTCCATGAAGGATTAAAAATCCTGTTTCCAAATCTAAATCAAGAAACTTAGATTACAATAATATGCCAGGGCTATATATAAACTGCTTCAGACTAAATACCAAATTGTAAAAACATAATGCAAAAGATAAATATCTTTTTGATCATCGACATCACAGCATGTTGAAAAAGAAATAAGCATTCTTATTTCACCTTAAGATCATAAGATTCTGCACCATTTCTTTGCCTAGATAATGATCAATACGATAGATTTGGTCTTCTCGAAACAATCTTTCTAAATGTAAAGATAATTTTGCCGATGATTCTGAATCGGCGCCAAAAGGTTTTTCAATAATAATGCGGGTCCAGGAACGCCTAAAAAGTTACAACATGTTCTGTAAATGACGAAATATTGCACAAATCTCCTTATGTTATGAAAAGTGATATTTCAATTTTCACAAATACAGGCAGCAAAAAAAAACTGCAAAGTACAAACTAGCAAAGAAGACAAAAATAATTGGTTTCAATTTTTGGTTCTAAAAATGCTCTTGAACCAAAAAAAACCATTTAATTTAGCACATCAAATTCAGAAATAATTCATGAGCATAAAGCATCTTGAGATGAAGTAAATCTATACTAATGTAATATTTTCGCAAACAAATACTAATAATAATATAGCTATTTAATAGTACGATAATGAACTAGATATCCATTGAAGTGGTAGAAAAAGTAGGCAACAACTCACCCATCATCCATACAATTTTTATTTATCTGAAGTGTAACAGATTCGAAGACTTCGGGAGGCAAAGCAAGATAATATAATCTGTTCACTGCTGCTATAATCATAATGTATGTCATGAAACAGAACAGAATTAAAGGGAAAAGAAAATTTTTGATTTCTTTTATTATTTGCACATCCAAAAAATCATATTTAATGATGGTTTGAGATTTAAAATGTCTTACGAGGTGTATCATGAACTGTAAAAAAGATAATCTAAGAATATCCAGAAACGATGCTATTTACATAGTTTTTACTTGAATTAGAAAAAAAATGCATTTTCTTTTTTATAATAAGAAATGAAATACCGCCATCACAAGATTCTTCAATTTTTTTGATGGTATTTTGAAGGATAATGAATCCAGATGGTTCACTGTAACTACCACGAATGTACAAGCAACGCGATATGAATTTGTCGAACTTTTCTTCTTCCCCAAGATGAAGCTAAAAATAATCGCTGAGCAAATTTAATTCATTCAATTCGAGAAAAAAATATAAAACAGTTAAATATTTTTTAGTTCTTCATAACTGCTTTTTATAACAGAATGAAGTAATGAGGATGATACAAGGAAGTTAATAATACGCATTCACTATGAGCAAAAATTGAACGAAATTTTAATGAAGAGTTTTAAAAATCACAACCTTATTGCTATACTTTCTAATGAAAAAATTATGGTTTTTGAAAACGTGAAATAAAGTATTACAAAAGTAAGTCTAGATAGAGAGAGTGACTGCAGAATCAAAAAAATATTACCTCGAAGATGGAATTTTTGGAATTTTAAGATGCATAAAAATATTTTTACACAAATAAATAAACTACCAAAAAACTACCTTGCATTGCCCGATGAATTTTTCTTTCAACGAAGTCATCGTTAAGTCAGATCGAGCATAACCAATTATAGAGATATTGTAAGGAAGTAGTGAATCCCGGAAAAGCCACCAAAGTGTGGGATAAATTTTTTTTCTAGCCAAATCTCCCTAAAATAATTGCTTTGAGAAAACAAAATCAGTAATAATAAAGAATATAAAATCTTGTGAGTTAAATTTTTACATTTAGCTTTCTATAGTTTGAAGTGATTAAAATTTGTAATGAAATTAAGTGCATATCTCATGATACATTATTTTCAATTAACTGAAGCATTATTAATTTTGATTCTCTGAATGAATTCATAATACAAATTGCGCATTTTCAAGCATACCGAAGCACCAAAAATAACGAAAACATATGGATCGCCATTGATGGTTCCCATAGATTCTTTAAGAATGCTAACAAGTTCCATGCTTAATGGAGTAGAGATAGAATCTTCACGACGCAATACCGATATATCTTGATGCGACATCTTTTCTGTCAACTCTTAAAATACAGCGTCAATGCAAAATGCCGGCAGAAAACGAACACAAATATTATTTGTAGCAAATGATCACGGACTGTACACAATATAATGAAAGAAAACTAATTTTCATTCACAGTCCACCCAACAAAATGATTAGTGCATCGAGAAAGAAATTAACGTGAATATGAACTAATTACAAACAATACATGCTCTCCATGATTAATTTATTATTCTGAAAACATCTTTATTTGCTTTAAATATTAGAAGAAATTAAATAACAGACTGAGATGAAAATGAGTATTTCTAATATATTCACGAAGATAATTTTTTCTAATTACTACTTGACCTTACTTAATTAACTTTTGAATCTAAAAATTAGAAACACTCATTTTCATCTCAGTTTGTACTGAAACATCCCTGTGTACTACTACTACCCCGCTTAACGTCTCAAAAAAATTGAACAATTACTACAAGTATTTTGAAATTCTAATTTATGAGATTATGAGATTTCTTGATACATGAAAAATTTCATTATAAAAAATATCTAAAGAGAAAATAAACGTCTTAGTAAATGGAGAGAGAGAATGTTAAAGAGAAGTTCAACTGAAAGCAGCGCCACTTACTTGGATTGTAATTCCAAAACAGGTTTCTCTTGTATTAACATGATGAAAACTTCAAAATTAAATCAAAACCTTGGACAAATCAGGGAAGAAAAAAAAAGAATTTTTCGGTATAAGAGAAAAAAGATTAACACACTGACTACTATCGTAGAGTGCGGTTTGAAAATATTTTAATACAAAGCCACTATTCACATCACAGCCATACTCTCAAATCTTTGTTGCACTACACGTTTTAAGTAATACCTTCATCAAATAGATGATTTTTGTATTGGAAAAGCTAAAACTTTGTATTAAAATATTGGAAAAGCTAAAAAAGCAAAAAGAATTTTTTAATATTCAAATTACTTAAAAGGAGTGAAATTAATTGATCATAGTATTAAAGTGTGAAGTACTCTAATTTTATTAGAATTTTTTATTCATAATTGTAAACACCATTCCGTACAAATGTAAACATATAATTTTGCGCTCTAAACTTGACACAAATAAATGATAAGGCAATTACAACAATGAGTAAACAGAAAGAAGAAAAGTACTGCAACTAATAAATTATACATTTATCTATTCATAGACCTTGGAACTAATACTGCTTTCACAGACCTCTTTTCTATCTCTCTTTTAAACTTTTATAGAAACATATCAGATGCAAACGATTTTGCCTTACATTAAATACTCATTTGACTATCTTTACTTTGCATACAGTACTATTATCAGTCTTTACTGCAACTAGCTGAGTAATAATTACAAGACTAAATAACTGGAGAAAGACTAGATTCATATGAATTGTCCAGCAATACTCACTCAAACAAATTTCCTCTTTTCAAAAAAAACTGTCCTATACATAAATATGCGTTCCATACCATGTTATTTTTTGTTTTTGCTGCTTACTCAAGCAGTGCATGTAATCAAAAGTTACAACATTAATCTAATGACACGAAAATTCTTTCCTCCCTTCCTTCGCTTTCACTTACTGCAGCAAGAGTAAGTGCGTAACCAGTATGAATTCTGCTACAAAATGTCACTGAGATTTAACACGACTATATAACTATACGAACAAATGATAAGAATTCTTCGTTAAATGGTAGAATAATGATAACAGTACAGCCAACAAGATGAATCCTTCCCGACTTACGTCACACGCATTTCTTGCACTAGCATATGGAATAATTTTTAGACGAGTACCATACCTAGCAAAATCAATTTTGAATTGAGGTGAAAGACAATTACTAACATTACTGACGTTAACAGAACTAATTAGGAATAGGAATGAATGAATGTGATAAAAAGAGAAAGAGAGAAAAGCACGTCAACTCTGGCACTTCTTCTTTGATACAGCAAGTAAACATACTGCTATTCCTTCATTCGAGTTTTTTAGCAATAATTTCAACAAGCTCATCCTAAGAACCCGACATTTGTTCCCATTATTATGCGAGAATTACTGTTGCAGCACTTGCTGCATGAATGCATGAGATGAGATGAGATGAGATGAAATGAGATGAGATGAAATGAAATGAAATGAAATGACAGAGAATACACAATGTGATGACGAGGAGACAACGGCACTTGCCATGCTAGCACTGTTATCTACTCTGTCAGTAGCAATAATTATTGACACTTACTACCTCCTTATGAAATGCAGCTTTGTGTCCGCTAGCTGCTCCCAGCAACTTCACTACGACATAAGACTGACTTTAATTCAGCTGCACTCACTTACTATAGTTACAGTTACTGAGTGAATGAATATTTACGAAACTCAGCAGTGACACCAGAATCTATGAAAATCAAAGACTTCATAACTTAAGGCATGACTTGCAATACCATGCGATACGTGTTAAATATCTCAACGTACTCATTTATTAGGCTACTAACTGCAGGATGGAAACATGGCAAATATATCGTTCACTACTAATAGACATCTGCAATCTAAATGCAAACTACACATAGATTTGAAACTATGCATAATAAAACATGCATCACTGCCATTAAATCCATGAACATCGCATAAAATACGTGCACAAAACACCGTTCTGAATGTCTCTTTGATAATATACGGTACGACATGTTTGAGATGATGCTTATACCTTTTACTTATCATATCAAACTCACTTTACTGAAATAGGCTCTCTGACCTATTTAATTATTCAGGTACAGAAATCAAAAACTTACAGAAATACATATTATCTGAGAAACTTCTCATGCAGCACAACAACCCTTAAATGTCAAGATAAAACAGTCTGAATGTAATTCAGAAACAGTGGAGGACTTTTAACTTTGATCAAAACCTTACAAGTTCTACACATCAAGTAATTGCAGTCATTAACTCTCGTTAATAAAGCAATCACAGAATCTTCGACCACACCTTGAAACCATTATTTAATATTATACAGGAAAAGAATATGACAATAAAATATTTATTTCTATTACTACTACAGCTTACTATCTAAAAACATCATACATTTGCTTCTTATATTCAAAGTTGCAACAGACTGTAACAAACAGGTAAAAGTGTGGTATTCTCTTTATTTCGTGGTAAAAGTGAAACTTCAAATGCAGTTAAGTCATTACCAGAAAAGATCAGTTTTAAATGCCAAGCTTTAATGAATTAAGAAATTTTGAAAAAATAATAGGACAAAAAAATTCAAATAATTCATAATATCTATGAGCGTAATATATACATTGGTCACAAGAATTGCGCTTACAACCAACAGCTTTGCAGTTTATTTCAATATTTCAAGTACCTGCTTGAAATCGTGATAATTCTGAGAAGTATAGCAACCATTTCTCAATATCTTTTGGAGTGAAATATGAAAGTAATGACTAAAAAACAGCATTTTGAAAAATCCCTGAACAACCAAACAAAAATGTTCAATTTTGCGATATCAATCGTCCATATCCGTCTCTAAATTGATACTATCACCAAACTTGCCATAAAGTATTGCCTTTAGAGAACCCAATTCCCTAGATATGCTTTTGAGTTTTTCATCAAGAACAGCTACCTGATTTTCCAAATATTCTTTCATATCCTGTAGTTTCGACTGTAACCGTTCCTGAAAACGATAATTCGATATTTCTATCTCTGACTTAAAAAAACGAGCAACCTTTTCAATTGAATTTTTTCAACTATTCTAAAATTAAAACCATAATACCAATTATTTCAGATCAGGTCAAATGCGCATAAATTATACGTGATATATTCATTTGTTTACATGCTGATTACTATTCTTAAGGCTCTGTATATCTATGCACTTTCTCTCTAAGCAGAATATTATTTCAGAAGATGTTACTGACTTGATCCAAATGCATAAATATTGAGCCTGTTTTATAAGGAATTGACTGCAAGTCACAATCATTGAGCAGAAAGATCTCGTCAGAAGCTTCACTCATATTTTGCAAATCTCTCGTCATTTCATCAAGTTTTTCCTGCAAGCTTACAAAGAAATTAATGTAAGAAGCCTGATGATAATATTGATTTGTAGACAGACATGAAGAATTTTGTATGCCTCAAAAATGAAATACTTAAAGTAACACATATATTAGTATAATAATTGAAGTCAGTAACAGAAGTGCGGCAATAAATTCGTATGTATTCCTAGTTAAAAAGCTGTAATCACAAGGAAAGAAAGCAATATCAAGAACGTTCAATTTTCAAGTGCAAAATAATGCTCCCATTACAAAAATGAAAAAAACTTGTAGCTTTTCCATTTATGCAAAAAGGCAAAAGCTTCAAACAGAAACAAGCATTAAATGAAGAGCTTAGCAATAAACCAAGTCAAAACATACCCTCACATCTATCGACTTCTGATGTAATCTTGCAAATCGATTGATCAATTTTTGGTCATCGGCAGTTACGTGTATATTTTCCTCAACTTTAGATGCTGTCATCTTGATGTATAACCAAATAAAGCGAATAACAATTAACAACAACCAACCTGAAATGAATTAAGCAATACATTTGAACTTATTATATGATTTAATTTTGGTGGCCGACCGCAAAGTATCAGTAGCAAAATTATAGAATAAAATGGCGAAACGAGAAATGAATGCTACATCTCAAGCAATGCGAAACAATTCTGTCTCATTATTTGAAGCACAATATGTTGCATCAGCTGTGTGAAGCAGGGATTTTTGTCTGCTTGTCATCTTTAGTAACTTTATTTGAATAACTCTTAAAGTATGCATTAGATAAGCATTTTCAACTTATGTGCTTTTTATTCTGAAGCGATGATTAGTTGTTAATGGAAAATATGCATTAGAGTGTGGAGTGAAATTATTGCTTCTTCAATTAAAATTTGAATTTAATGAATTCCTAAAGCACGTAATGCTCGCGTACAAATAATTTTTCAACTGTCCGCAAATTGACATCAGGCAGAGTACTACTTTAAATATTTAGAATTCAGATGACTTATGCTTTCAGAAGTTCTAGAGTGAATCACGTAGGTGTGCTACATAGAGATGTGTCAAATTCGTAGACGAAGTTTTTTGTCCTCTACCCTCCGAGGAGTAGTTAATATTGTTTTCTTTGCCGATTTCCCTTATTAACAGCCTCTTCGTATGTTCTGCTTTTGTACTCTTGCGAATGTATTCTTGTACTGTTATGATGTTATTCTGTTGTTATTTGCTTGATTGACGTAAGGGTCAAAAAAATAGATCTTTGCTGAGGAAAGAATGCACTTGGCATCAGAAATATTATTCATTTAAGTAAACAAATTAGAATTGTCTTATTTTTTAAATTGACAGTATTTTTTCAGCTTGGTTTAGGTGAAAAATTATAAAATGCACTCAATCGAGTGTTGCAAATCTATCGCAATTCTTCACCCAAAACATAAACAGAATTCATTTGAAAAGCATTGAAACATTTTCCACTCGTTATTGGCCAGTTTTGTGCCCGAATTTTCTTTTATAGAAAAAAAAACAGTGCGATTATATCCATTCATCTGACTTGTAAACTGGCTGTGTCTAGTTGTGTCTAAGCAATTTCATGACTGTAGACTCGCTTTCGCTCTTCTATAGTAAAGTTCTGTGTGAGTTAGTTTACGTCAGTTAAAGAAAATTAGATCTAGTTTTTGCATTAAACATTTATTGGACTGATATTTGAATTCCGATGCAAATTATTCATTAGCATTCCATTTCTAAAATACTTATAATAAATAAATCTCTTTGATAGATTAGTAGAAACAGAATATTTTATGATAGTTATTATGCTTTAATTGAAACATTAGAATATAATTAGTTTTCAATAGTTTTGTAGGACTATTTTTCGATTATACGCGAGTCTGTTTTATTACTTTTTTCTTAGTCTGTTTTTACGTAATTCGTACAATTTTCAAAATGACTTGCATAAATTCACCACTATACATATTCTTTAACTTGCAGCGAACAGTTTGTAAATAGCAAAAATTATTTGCATTTCCCTTCTCATTCATTTTATTTCATTAGCGTATCTTTCACTGTAATTGGATTCTCCGTCTCTTTTTGTACAGCCATGATGTGAATTATTTTTCAGAAATTTGACATTTAAGTATTCATAAATTGTCTCCAATTGTGGCACTATTTCCTTTCTTGCATTTTTGTGTATAATTCATCAACTTAATTAATTGG